AGATTTTTATTGGGGAATTGGTGGATGGGGAACAGACAAGTTGCTGTCATTTTGTTCTTCAGTCTAGTTGTGGAAGACGTTGCTTCACTAGCCCAAGTTGGCACCATCATTGCTCTCTTCCCAGGCGAGACAGATCAGTCGCCGGCTTCTGGACGGCCGCTCACGGCGGCTGCTGGCCGCTCACGCTGGCTGCTGGCTACACATGGTAGCCCATGGCAACCCACTGCCACAGGGGCTGCAGCCTATGCCGTCACCGGCAACTCACGGCAGCCCAGCTCCAGGTTGAGCTGTTGTTCAGCATCTTAGCTGTGGAGGGCAGTGTCACTGGTCCTCATATGTGGGATCCGAACCGGGGCCCTCTGGTGTCCCAAGCCAGTTCTTAACCATTGCGCCACTCGGCCAGCCCAGAAAAAGATGTTTTAAAAAAGTTATTTTTACATTTTTCTTAAAATCCACATAATTATAGGAGAAATGTCATATACACGTTAATCGTTAAGAAAACAATTAAGTAGCAGGCCAGCCAGGTGGCGCGTTGGTTAGGAGTTGGCTTGGGAGCATGAGCTCTGAGCAGCAGGGCCCCGGTTTGGATCCCACATATGAGGGCCAGTGACACTGCCCTCTACAGCTAAGATGCTAAACAACAGCTCGACCTGGAGCTGGGCTGCCATGAGCTGCAGTGAGCTGCCAGTGACAGTGAAGGCTGCAGTGGGGCTGCCGTGACCCGCTGTGAGCAGATCCGATCTGCCTCAGCCAGGAGGAGTGCAATGGTCACAGTACCATCATGGGCCAGTGAGGCGACGTTCCTCCACAGCTGGGCTGAGGAATGAGGGGACAGCGGCTTGTCTGTTCCTCTTCCCCGATTCCCCAATGCTGTTCCCTCCCCCAATTCCCCAATAAAATCTTAAAACAAAAAAAAGTGCAAAGAATGTTGAAAACTAACCTAAATTTAAAAAAAGAAAAAGAAAAAGAAAACACAGTAGATACGCCTGAAGAAGAAAAACAACTTAGTACTCCGCAAAGAACACCAAGGTCGTTATAAAAATAAATTCAACTGATAATGAACTACAGATTTTTAAACTATATGTAAGCTGACCACATGTTCTCTTAATGTTTTCAAAGTTGTCATATCAACAGATGTGTTTTTTTTTACCAAGAAAAGATGAAACTACCTTGTACCAGCAGTACTGGCTACACTACGGTTCACTTCTCTTTCCAGACCCCTGCTGGGTGTTGCCCCTGAGGAAGGGTCCTTCACGGAGGCACATCTCTAAGAAAAGACATTTCAGAGCACTCTGTCACAAGCACACTCCAGAGGGAGGGGACCTGGAGAGGGACCCAATCGCCTCACATGTACACATTAAGTAGGGTCTGGTAAGTGACACTGCTTTGAAAACAGCTGCAGAGATATTTGTGGCCCAGATGAAACCTGTTCGCAGAGGATGAACAGCCTGTCCCGGCTATTTTGGGGACAACGACCCTGGCACCCCAAGGCTTTATGTAACTCACGTTTGCGGCTGAAGCTTGAGGGAGGCCACAGGAGGACCGCGTCACCACCGACGAGGCCTCGCACCGAGTCACAGACGTCAACCTGGCTGCACGTGCAGGTCTATTGGCGCTGACAGGGCATGGGGACTGCTGGACACTCAGCCAGGCAGCAGTGAAAACCAAGCCAGGCAAACGGGGCCGCATGGCCCTGACCTGAGCGACCGGCGGAGTGGACTGGCCCTCGGGCTGGATGTGGGATGAAACGAAGCCGTAGCTGTTGGCTAACTTTCAGGTGAGAGCAGGTCCTGGCTGTGCTATAGTGGGGGCACCTGGCTTGGTAGAGACAGAGTAACGCGTCCCAGGGGAGCACACATGATGTACAGGGCTTGCCTCAAACAACTGGGGGGTGGGGAGTGCTGAAGCCACAAGGTGGCGCGTATCCACCGGGGAGCCAGGTGGGGAACTGTACTAAACTTCTGCTTGTTGTGTTGACATTTTCTCCAACAAAACGTTAAGACGGGCAGAAAAGCACCACCTCCCAGAGCACCGCTGTCATCCTGTGAAATCAGCTGCACAGAAGAGGTGACGTACAGCGCGTCTGACCCTCACCCCCTCGGCGGCAGAGCAGGGACCACCAACCTCAACGAGCTGGTGCAGCAGTGACACACAGGAAGCAGCGCCGGCAGAGGACAGAGGACACGTGCCTTCACCGGCGCTCGCTCTGAGACCACAGACAAAGCGCTTAGGGCTGTCAGCAACGGGACGTGCAAGTCAGTGGGCACCACGACAGGGGACATGCCGGGGATGGCACGCAGCAGACGCCCTCAGCGTGGCACAGGTCTGAGCCCTAGACACGCCCTGCCAGGACCCGTCTGCAAACCGCAAAGTGCCGTGGGGCCTGCCCAGCGGTCAATCCCGGCCCCTCGGGCACGTGGGACCCGCCAGCAGCCCCCATCACGTGCCTTTCACCAGAGCCACTGTGGACGGTAAAGGTGGTCGTCCATCTCACACCCTCTGCTCTACCGTCCTGGGGTGAAGCAGCTTCCTAGAGGCCACATGACAGTGATGACCCCTCAGGATGGCGACTCCAGGGGCTGGGGGACACTAGGAGTCTGAGGGAATACCAAGGGGGCTTCATCCGCTTTTAGTGTCGTCTGAGAGAGGACACTGGGAAGAGAAGGCTGAGATGCTGTCAAGGATGCTGTGTGTCTCTGGCGGTGAGCCGGGTCGCCTGTGCGGCTCCAGGCTGCTGAGGGCACCGCTTCCGGTGTGGTTCCTCCTTCATCCTCTCAAACATGGAACCCCACCGACTGGCTGCATTCAGGGCAACTCAGAGTCCAAGGACCAAATGTCAAGAAAAACACCGACTCCCAGACTTTCAGCCAAACAGAAGAGGATGAATCTCACAGGGAGGCTTCCCCTGATTTCTATAACCGCCTCTGCTCCTCCTCCTCCTCCTCCTCCTGGGGACTTGCAGAAACTGGTGGCTTTGTGCACACAACCGGAGCACTGACTGGTCACCTGGGAGCCCGGCGAGTGGCAGGGCCGGTCCTGTGGTCAGAATCAGGCGTGAGCACGCCCGACAAAGCCCCACAGAAATAGTGCTGACCCAGGTGCACGAATCAACACGTTGTGCACAGGCATGGCACAAGATGCTGGCCACTCGTGAGACGTGTCACACAGGTTCTCACCCCCACAAAGACCAGAAGTTAGGGAGATGTGAGCCTTCAAATACAAACGCCGGGGAAGGGCCTCAGGGTCCGGCCAGAGGTTTCCCACGCCTGCGAGGACGGAATGCAAAATCATATGGGCACGCGTGTGTGTGCAAGCGTGTGTGTGTGTGTGTGTGTGTGCGCAAGCACGCATGCAGTGAGGACAGGGTGCCCAGCACTGCACACCAGGCGTCCCCTGCTGGGCAAATGCCATCCTGCACAGAGGCACGGGGAACAGAGGACAGGAGCCCCATGGCAGGTCACCTTCCAAGCGCCACTGTCAACCTCGCTCCCGCAGCTCCCGTGAGCCTCAGGAACCCCTCGCTGCTCCCGAGCACCATGTGTGCCTTCCCACCACTATGCTGCCCACGGGCCTTGGTCAACTGTCACCTAGACTAGTACAGTAGCCTCCACCCCCTTCTGGCCAGCCACCAATGGCCTCTGGAGCAGACCGTGTGCTAGGCCACTGGCTGCCAGATAAGGTCAGGACCCCTGGCAACAAGGACACTGCCCTCCAAGTGCACCCAGGCGGGTCCTGACATGCTCACTCCCTAACCCAACCTCCGAGACCCTAACTAGGTGTGGCAGGGCCCTCGGAAGGCTTGCTGGAAGAGTGGGACCAAGGGGACATTGCATCAAAGCCCCTTGCAGCGAGCTCCCCAGGAGGCTGTGGTCTGGGCGCTGCTCTGGACCCAGGGACACAGAGTGAACAGAGCACCACACGCGCTGCCGGGGACACGGCTGGGGCCCATCGGGCAGTCGGGGAAGGGCTCACTGAGAAGGTGACTCGATGAAGAAGAGGCCAGAGCACAGGTCCCGTTCAGAGAACACACACCTTACATCCTGGAAACAGCAAGGCAGCAGATGGCCAGCACCATGAGGACAAGGGGCAGGGAAGCAGATAGGGTCAGAGGGCACGCATGGCAGGTACCACTGCACAGAGGTGAGGATGAGGGTGCCACGGACACTCAGTGACCGTGGGCGAGCAACACAGCCCTCCGATGAGGAGCCCCAGGGTGCCTGGCACCCCCACGCCACTGCCCGCTGTCCCTGAAGCCACTGCTGCCCAGGAAGAGGCTGCACCCCACGCTGGAGGGGGCTCACCTGCCAGCCCTCTGGCTGCCTCTGCCTCTCAGCCCCCCAACTAGCGCGCACGCGGCCACACCCATCTCCTCTCCAGCAGGTGCCCCTACGAGCAGGGCTGCAGCCACTCTCTTACTGTAGCCACACTCTCACCCTGCCATCCACGCCCTGCGGGCAGCACTGGGCATGCCTGCCTGACCCACGCACTACACAGGGCAGCCCATCCACTGCTAAGACACCAAACCCGCAGCGACCAGTTTTAGGCCAAACAGAAGTGTCCTGGTGGTGAGATGCAGGTGTTGCTGGGCTGCAGGTGAGGAAAGGTGGGCGCCAGCCCAGGGCAATGGGCCTTCTCCACAACGTCCCTTCCATACTAAACTCAGGGACAGTCCCTGCTCTAGAAACACAACAGATTTAAGCTCATGAAGCGGCCACAAGGGGAGAGCCAGGCTGCCATGAGGAGCACCCCAAACCCCGTGAGGTCAGGTGCACATTCTGCTGCAATCAGGGGCCCAAAGCCTCCCGAGGGGCCTGCAATCACACAAATCCTTAAACCTCACTGGTCTACACCCAAAGTCGCCGCCGATGGTGGCAGCACAGGCACACGTGGGCGGCATACACTGACACTTGCTCAGGTGCACACCCACAGACACGCACAGTGTGCAGCACACAAGCGAAAACGGAAGAGCCCTGTGCTGGGAACGGCAAGGCATGTCTCACCTGCTGAGCCCTGCCAGGCCTGGCTACGGGGACCCGCAGGCTCTCGGGGCACTTGGTGCCCGGCTCAGCACCCCCGTGGCCCTCTGCAGACTGAAGCTCGGTGTCACGTTCCCACTCAAATCCCTCCAGCCCCGAAGTCAGAGCCGCGTGCTCAGGAGCCTGGTGGTTGAGCAGCTCCAGGGCCCGCCTGTGCTCGCCGCGAAGGGCCTCTACTTCAGACAGGGGACGAGCGTCCGCAGCCTCCAGGCCTGACTGGCACCTCACCTCCAGAGCGCGGACTTCCGCAGCATGTGCCATCTGCAACTCGGCCGCTCGTGCTCCCGAAAGGGCCCAGTGCCGCCTCTCGAGCGCAGCCCGCAGCTCCGCAGTGTCGGCCTGGTGCTGCGCCTGCAGCTCCGCACTCAGGGACACGAGGTGCTGCTGGTGTCTGTCCTGGAGCAGCCGCAGCTCGCCTGCGTGCCTCTCCTGGGCCTCCCGCAGCAAGGCGTCTCGTTCAGCAGTCAATTTCTCGGTGATTTCTCTACGCTGCTCCAAAAGCCTGACGGGACAGCAAACCACACAGTCATAAAAGCACGAAGCCCTTCACATCCCTCCAGGAAACCGACTCCTACTGGCAAGACCGGCATGTGGCTTTCACTGTCCTTGTTCTTCCTCCCTCAGCCACTAATGGCCCGAGAGGACCCCCGACCAGGAGCAAGTGAAGGCGCCAGAGCCAGGCGTCCCCAGCATAGGACATGGGACACAGGACACAGGACCCACAGCAAGAAGTCACAGGGACACTTCCGACGGGCACCGTGCTCAGCAGGCGTGACCATGACCATGGGGAGGAGGACCCGACAAACCGAGGGGTGGCAGGGCTGCACAGGGCATTCAGCAGACCTCAGAAACCCTTCAGCTGTGAGGGACGTGAGCTCGGAGAGTGGGCGGGAGGCACTGGCCGGTAGGGGCACAGGCAGAGCCAGGAAGACGCGTTCTCGTCCAAGCGCCCAGAGCCCCACCTGGAACTTGACCACAGCTCCAGCTCTGGTGGGCGCTGCTGAGCTCAAACAGGAGGTGTGACCGCCGGTGTGTGCTGCCCATCCCCAGCCACTGCCCGTCTAACCCTGGCCACACAGTGGCGCGCTAAGCTTTTGTGCCCACGTGCTTGGGGGGGCATCGAGCACAGACAGCCCAGGTTGCAAAGAGTCAGCACTGTCAGAGGCCAAGAGCCAAATTACAACTAGATCTATTTACAACTTACAGGAAGTACGTATGTATTTCAGAAAAGATGTTTTATTTTTAAAAAATAACCTATTAAAGCTTAAAAAAACAGAAAAAACATGTGTGGACAGACTGCACATCCTTATGATAAATGAAGCTGAAAGGTCTGCACTGAAATGTGAAAACGTGCAGAGAACAGGAATGATGTGAACGAAGCACATGCAGCGTCCCTCCAGCCGAGGGACAGACTCCACCGGAAGGGTCTGGATGCTGTTCCTGCCAGCACATGTCGGTGACAGGGCTACGTGTCCCACTCTTGCTTCAGGGTGAGGACTCGGGATGTCGCTGAGCGCCAACAGCTCATCTTCCCAGGGGACCTGCCTCCCACCTTCTGCCAGGTCCTCCCAGGACCTGCGGCTGTCCTGGGTCAGGTCTCGCGAGGGGACCTGCCACACCGCTCCCAGGTGTGACCCACCTACCTGTTCTGGGCCAGCGTCAGCTGGAGCGCACAGTCCTCCTTCAGGCGGGCTGCAGTCAGCTCCCAGGCCTGGCCTGCGGGGGCCACACCGTCACCCGGCTCCCGGCCACACTGTGGACACTTGTCCCCCGTGAGCTCCATCTCCAGCTGCCGCAGGCGGCCCTGCTGCTCCACCAGCGAAGCCTCCAGGTCCCGGATCTGGGCTGCCTGCTGGTCCTGCAGTTGCCTCATTTCGGTTTCCCGGAGCTCAAACTCGCTGAGCAGCGACTGCCGGCCCGACGCTGCCTGCTGGGTCAGGTCCAGGAGCGTCCGCGCCAGCCGCTCCTCCGCTTCTCTCTTCAGGGCCGCACTGGTGACCTTCCACTCTGCTTCTCTCTCTCTCAATTCTTGTTCCATTAGCTGAACCTGCTCCTTAGCTTTTCCCAGTTCTTCTTGATGACACTCCACTAAGTCATGTTTCGCCTGAAGGAAGAGAGTGAAGGACAGGCCACTGGCAGCAATGATCCAGCCCCAATGTGAAGGCAGGGCCCACAGCACGTGGCCACTGTGCCAGGGACAGCAGTGGACTGCGACTGCTTGTGTTGACCGGAACACAAGTAACCTAAATGACCAAACTGAAACCACTTGCTTAGGCACAATGTCCACATCCTGGTCCCTGAAAACAACGGGGCCAGCAGGCCAGGACGAAAACTAACTGAACAGAACACACACACACATGCACACGGGACCGGAGCCGAGTCGGGGCTGGAGCCCTTCTCTGTGGCGCCAAGACCAGCAATGGGGGAAAAGGGGACACGTCCCGGGTCTTCTGCTGAGGAAAGGCCAGAAACCCCTGAAACAGCAGAATCGCCAGCAGCAAGGAGATGAGCACAGCAGACAGCGTCACGAGGTCAAGTCTCTGCACGTGCACAATTCATATTCCAGGATATACAGGAGCTAGAGCCAGAGGCTAATGAGCTAAAACCAATACTTTCAAAGGTGTCTTGTGAAAAGGGAGATGATTCAGAAAGCGAAGGGAAGCAAATATCCTCGTTTTCAAAAAAGAAAGTAGGTCAACGAACTACTGAACATCAACCAATAAAACAAAAACAAAAACAAAACTGGGACGTAAGACTGACCTCAACTCATTTAAGTTATTAAAAATAAAGTTCAGGGTCCTGCTTCTGGTGATGGCTGAGGAGTTCCAGTCAGACCAGCCTTCCCAGAGAGAACTATACACTCTGTTAACTAAAACACACGAAGCTGCCGGAAGGCCCAGAGAGCTCCCAAAGGAAACGGCCCTGGTGACTCACTGAGCTGTGCTCACGGGAACCCCATCGTCTTACTTATTGGAACAGAGGGCTGGAAAGTGAGAGGGGGAGCCCCATGAGGACAGAGCTGGAGGGGGAGGCGGCAAAGTCCGGCTGATCCCAGATCCGTACGTGTGTGGGCAGGACGGCTAAGGCTGACAGACCTGAACAGTGCGCTTCAATCCCACAGAGAACGAGGCCTGCAGAGTAAGAATCCAGTGATACTAACTGCCTGCCGAAGCACGAGGTCAACACTCTTCAGAGGAACATAGCAGAATCCAGAGTTTCCACAATGTCCAGGAGCCAATCCAAAAACAGTGACATACAAATAAACAGGAAGTAAGACCCACGCTAAAGAGAAAATACATCCGTGGAGAAAAACCTTAAGATAACGTAAATGTTGAAATTAGCACACAGAGGTCGTAAAGCCATTATCATAACCACACTTGTGAACATAAAGGAAAATATGCTCATAATGAATAAAAAATAGAAAATCATGGCAAAGAAAATAAAAACTATTCTAAACAACCAAATGGAAAGTCTAGAATTGAAAAACACAATATCTGAAATTTTAAAATTCAATGGACGGACTTAAAAACAAATTAGAGGCCAAGTGGTACGTTGGTTAAGAGCTGGTTTGGAGGCCAGCTCTGAGCAGCAGGTCCCCGGTTCAGATCCCACATGAGGGCCAGAGATGCTGCGCCCTCTACAGCTAAGATGGTGAACAACAGCTCGACCTGGAGCTGGGCTGCTGTGAATCGCCAGCAACGGCGTAGGCTGCAGTGGGCTCCTGTAAGCTATTTGAGTGAGTGGCAGCAGGCGTGAGCTTTCGTGAGCTGCTGTGAGCTGCTGTGAGCGGCCATCCAATGGTCGGTGAGCATTTGCCTCACCCGGGAAGAGCGCAATGATAACACCAACATGGGCCAGTGAAGCAACGTCCTCCACAACTAGACTGAAGAACAAAAGGACAGCAACTTGTCTGTTCCCCTCCCC